TCATTTAGGATAAACTTTGTCCACTTCGTGAGAGATAAAATTATTGTCACCAAAGGAGGCTGACAGATGAAGGGAGACTAGAACTGGGTTTGCTGCTTTGCTCTCCATTTGTCTGTTTATTGCAAAATCTTCAATAATGGGTAAAAATCTTAACAGAGCAGAAAATCACCAGCTGTTGTGAGATCACCTACCACTTGCACAGCTGCTTAGAGAAGAGAACTTGCTTGATTAAACCAGAGAGACTTCAGAGAAGAGCAGCAAAACTTTACAAGAGCTAAGCAGGTTTAAGTAAGCGATGTAATGGAACACAAATGAGCTCAACAGTGTAGGCACAAAACAAGGGAAGGAAATATTGGCCCAGGCCAGTGAGAGCAGCTGGGGAGAAACAGCCTGAATTCGAAGGTTTGTCTAAATGCAGAGTTGTACTGACTTCACTTAGATGTGCTTTAAAATGCTTTAGGTAAATAAGGTCAAAAGGCTAAGCAGACACTTCTTTTGCTGTAAACCATGTTTGGGGTTAAAATATTTGGAAAGAAATTTTAAACTGAACAGCAAAAAATAAATTTCTAAGCCTAAGGAAGAACAATTGCAGAAGTTTTTGCTTGCTAAATTAAACGAGAACAAAGGCGTGAATGGAGAGGGACAAGGAAGGGCAGAGCCAGTGAGAACAGGCGTGAAAAATTATCAGAGGAAGAGTCTTGCTTTGTCTCCAGAGGTGACAGATTGGATTGCCTTTTCTAGCACCATCGTCCCTGCTTTTGAGGTTTTTAGAGTGAAACTGGAGATCTTTTTTTTTAACTTTTAATTGCATGGCTTTCCTGGGCTAGCCCCGAAGGAGACAGGGACAGTTCATAAGAACTCTGAAAATACACGAATGACTAAATACTAGCAAATATGTCATTATGTTCTGCTGCTTCAGGGTCATGTGCTGGCTCTGCAAACATAGCTGCAGCTTTAGTCAGTGTGATTTTGACCCAAAGTCTTCTAGCTTGCCAGTGGGCAAAGGGAAATCCAGCAGTAACTATAAGCTGGCAGCCTTCCCGTTGGCCTTGCAAAGCGATTAGACAATTGTTTTCTGGTGCAGACTAAGTTTCTTTTGATGTCTCAGAAAGTTACTCTTTCCTCTTCATTTGTACACCTGACATCAGTCCTGTGAGTAGCCAGGTACCCTGGGTACAAATATTTCTGCCTGAGCTGTTCCTTGGAATCAAGATCTGAACCCTCCGTGTTGTTCCTGCATTTCCAGTGTAAACGTGGGGTCCAAACAACTCTGAGTTTAAGGAAGCCGGAATCAAGATCTGAATGCAGATGCTAAGATTTAAGCCATCCCTACCACAAATGCGGGCAATTCCTTTATCTCTCATCGGCGATGCTCTCCTGTGGATGCTCACGTGCGTGGCCATTATCTGTCCATATCCTTCCTTCTGCTTACGGACCCAGTAACCTCGATTAAGAGAACTGGCCAAGAACATCAAGCAAGTCACAGGAAAAGTTAAAAATGGAGCCTGATTTTCCCATCTCCCAAGTCACACTCTATTTCCATGGGGAATCACTGGAAACGTGTGAGAAATGCAAGTGACAGAAACACTGCAGAAAATAACCATTTACAAATATCTTCAATAACTCATAAGCCAGTCTTGGTATTACTATAATTGTGCACGGTGCCAGCATGTCAGTAATACTTTGCTCAGCCAGTTCCTAGCATAGCTTGTAATTTAAGTAACTTTTTCCAACTTTTAATTACATTCTTGTGTAATACGGCTCACTCTGCTTTGTGCATACCTTGAGGGAGGTGGTATGGTCTGGTAGTTGTTGTAAAGAGTTGGGAATTAATTATAAAGGACACAGTTTTTGAGTTCCTCTCGAGTACTTGCTCAGCTGTGTAACCTTGGGGCAAATCACTCAACTGCTTTGTGCCCAAGTAAACCCAGCTGTAAACCATCTTGAAAACCAGATGGTGCACAAATTTAGACTGCTCAGGAGAATGAGGAGGGAGGGGAAAAAAAATGTGAATTCTACAGCTTGTTGCTGTTGGTATTGCTTCCAATGGAGTTATCTGGATTTAACCGATGTAACTGAGCAGAGAATTTGCCTTGATATCCAAAATAAAGCCTCACCCTCAAATCTTTTTTTTCCCTTTCCTCTCTTGACTTTGTGTCAAGCACCTTCTCTCTAGAGGCCTAATTTTAAACCTTCAGTAGAATACATGTTTTTCCCTGGCAGCCTGAAGATTCTAATTCAGGATCAGGTTCTACATGACTAATCTTTGATATTTTACATGATTATTTTTAGGCACTTAATTCTATAGCATTCTTTTCTCTCTGCTTTTCATGCTCCCATTCTCCTTCCTCAGCCTTGCTTAGCTTCAGTGGCAGAGTGATGTGTTCTGGTGCTTAAGTACTGCGCCGCTAATAGAAATGCTGAGCTCTATTGTCTTCTGTAGATGGTATGTCCTGGCTTAAAACCAGTATCAAAGCTATTACAGGATTTGTATTGCTGGTCAATGAACAAAGGAAATACTATAGTTGAGTTTCTGTAGCACAATAAATGTTTGCCACATGTTAGTATTTAGGAGAAGACTTAAATGTTTCAATATTTTTTGGCCTGAGCTAAAATGTAGACTTTTTTCTTCCCCACTAGTGCCACAGGAATGTGGGAATACTTACTTATGCACGAGTACAAATGTAGGAATACTTGTGTATACTTCCCAAGCAGGGTGTATTAGGTTATAAGAAGCTAAAACCCCAAATTTTAAGTCTAGTATACATAAGGAACATTTAAAGCTGTGAGATGTAAAGGAGCCATTTTATACACGACTCAGGAAAGACCTTGCATGTTTTTATTAGTCATTATTGAAAATAAAACATTGACAGGTTTGAAATTTGTTGAACTTTCTTCCCAAGTAAGGAAGGATTAGAGCTGAAAGAGTAAGTCACAAATTTAACAAGCTAGAGCACCTAATTCTCTTAGGGTCTTATGAAAACAAACATTGTCAGGAAATTGTCTTCAGCAAATTTAGCCCTTATTTTACAGTACTGGGATGGTAAAATATTTAATTCCTATTAGAAATTGGTGAAAGTTTTTCCAATGTAAACAACTTTCAGTTTGTGTGTCTCGCAAACCGTTTGCTCTGTTTCATATCATCGAATCCTTAGATTCGATGTCTGAGCTATCCTGTTAGTAACTTAAAATATTGAAATTCTGTGCTAATAAGCACCGTACCAAAGTGTCTGCAATGAATAATGACACTGCTCAAACATCAAATTGTTAATTAACCATAAGCTGAAGTAGAAATCCTCTGATATTGTTTGAGTCCTTGTTTGGATGATCTAACTTTCTTTTCCCCTCCTACTACCACTTGAAACTCATTTTTAGAAAGTGCAGTTCTTCTGTGTAAATAAAAGAATTTTAAATTAATCGGAAGACAAGACATTCTCAGATGAGCAGTTGTGGAAAACAATAAATAAAACAGAAAGTGAGCTGTAGGTAGAGCAAATCCAGGTGATAAGGAAAAACATTACTAGAGTTGTTTAATACAGGGACAAGAAAAATAAAAAATACATTTTCAAGCCCTGAGCTATATAAATACTCATCAGATTCCATTTACATTTTTGCTGCTCATAATGAGTAAAAAGCTGAAACTGCAGCTGGGAGTATTTTTCTATATCCACCAAACCAGGGGTTTCCTTTCTGTGTTCCTGACTGTAAACCATTGAGCTTTACTTCATTTCTTGGTCCTGTGAATTGCTCATAGGGTCTGTTTAAAGAAAAGATTGTTGCATCATGGCTTTTACATGGTCCAACCCAGCTTCTCTCCACTCTCACTGAGAGCAGGCTGATGGATGCTTCATGTTGTTGTTCTTGCTACCATAAAACGGGCCAGCTCACAGGATACAGCTTCAAATCCCTTTGTACATGCTGGGACACAATGCAGTGAGGTGCTGCCAGTGAAATATGTGTTGATTGACTGCTGATTTGGATGCACTCCAAGGTATTGAGCAAAGTCTGGTCTTAAGGCAAATAACAAAATGATGAATTCCCAAAGCCAGAAATTTCAGGCACATAAAACCTTATCTTCTTAAAAAAAAAAAAAATCCAACGCATTAAATATACTTTATGTGAAGGCCTTGTTTCTTTAAAACAGTGTCTTGAACTTGAAATGTAACTAGTTTGGAAAAACAAAAAGTTAAATACTTTTAGGTCACCTCCTTGCTCTTGATTAATACAGTCCATTTTTTTGCAGGTTTTAAACCACGCTAATCGATTCATCACTCTCTCATTGCATATAGGAAACCTACAGAAAAATGAGAAGGATGCCATGGGGAAACAGACTACAAGATGCTGCTACAAGTATGTATTTTGCCCATATAATCACTTTCAGCAACAGTCAATATGCGTTTAAAGAAAAATAACCTGAAAAAATAGTGATTAAAAAAAAAAAATCTTCCTGTAAAGAGACACTACAAGGTGGTAAGCTCACATATGATCAAATCTCTCCTGAAGTTGCTAAGAACACTTTCTAAATGGCAATTTAAAAGCTTTCAATTACTACTTTTCACTATTTATGCTCTTCATTTACGTGGTTTACCTTTATTTTCCAGTCTTGTGACTAAGCAAATCTGGTAAATTTTGCTTGCTCAGTATAGCTCACGTCACTCTCCTTGTGTCTTGCTGTAGCTTATTGCCTGTGTTTGGGAATACAGCCATCCCCAAGAGAAGTCACTTCTTTTAAAAGTAGGATTTAATTATTTTTATTAATAAAAATCTGCATTTTAAGCCTGAACTATTTGCCTGTGTCCCTTTCAAAAAAGAAATAATTTGGGACAATCTATTTTTTAAATCACAATTTCTAAATTCTTGCCCCAAAGAGCAAATTCTGTAAGTTCCTTTGCTGAATGAGCATGGGATTTTTAAGGAAGATATAAAGACAAAATGAAAAAGCCTCTCACACAACCTGAATTGCAGCTGATGCCCCTTATTACCAGCTTTTTTTTTTTTTTTTTCCTTTTTTTCAGGTCTGTGGAAAACAATTTCTGTTGGCTACATCAAAGCGTAGTGGCAGATTTCCCTTTGGAAGTGAGGGCCTGTTTCAAACGTCTCTTTAAGTCCTGCATATTTGGAGACTTGGGTCGGACAAGGTGGAGGCCTCTTCGTTTCTCTCCGTTGCAGCTCCCAATCATCCTGCTGACCTCCTGACAAAGCTGCTGGAAGGCTTCGTGCACTCCCTCACAGTTCTCCCGGGCTGAGACTTCGTAGTAAGTACCTCCCAGTTCACTGGCCAGCTGGAGCCCTTCCTTGGAGGACACCTGCCTGGCTCGCAGAAGGTCTCCTTTGTTCGCCATCAGAAGCAGGGGAATGTTAGCATTCGGGTGAATCTTCCGGATGTGCTGGTGCAGGGGACGGATGACTCGGTAGCTCTCATAGTCTGTGATGGAGTAAACAAAAACGAAGCCATCTGCCCAGTAGATTGAACGGTTTATCTGCTCTTGGCAGCAGATGCTGTCAGTGTCGTCCTGCCGTCAAAACCAAGAGGTGTGAGATTAGAAAACTGAGAATAGGGAGCAGACAGAGCAAACAGTCATACAGCACTGTTAGCTGCTCAGCGCTTTGGTCTAACGCGTGGCTGTTTCTCAGCGTACAGGGAGAAACCTCTCTGGCTGCCGGGGAATGTACCAGGGACGGGAGAAATTTCCGCTGTGTCAGTAACATATGACAGGTAAGCAGTAACGTGGAGTGGAGAGGGGTCACGGCAAATGGGTTGAAAATAAGAGAATGGCCAAAATACTGATGTTTAGTACAATACTATTGTACTAAAGCAGCGTGGCAGAAACCAGCGCTTTTACTGTGGATAAAATGGTGATGGGCATGGTAAGAGCGTTATAAATTCAGCAGGCGAGTCACACCCCTGCCAGTGAACAGCTGTCCCTGAAGGTGTTTTTTTAGGGCTTTTTCCAATTCTGTATTCAACATCTTCACGGATGGGGGTTCTCACTAACCCTGTGTGGTGAAGCCTGGCAGGCTTTTCTGCCGTGTAGGTCTCCAGACAGTCAAAGGTAAAGTTTGTTCTAAACAGCAATTTGTTACAAATAAAACAAATTTCTGGTGCTGAAAATGAGGTGAAATCTCATTGCTCATTTCTACAGCAGCAACGGGTTTATATGATTGTTTTGCTGGTCACACTTTTGTTCAGTCCATCACCACTCCTACTCAGACAGCCATAACAATCACCAGCGCTGGGAGTATAAAACTAAATACAATGCTGTGGGGCTTGAAAAGAGATCAGCTCAGTTTTCAAGATTAAGCTATTTTCAGCTAATCCTCTACTCTTTGTTATCCGTGCTGGCATGTAACCCAACCAGATAGGGATATCCCTGCTGCAGTTATTGCCAGTATGCTTGGGTTGTAAGTACTGACTTTCCCGTCAATATTACAGGCTTTCTGGGACTTTGTAATTTCTTTCAGATCCAACAAGGCGCTAAGCATATTCAGCGTCCAGCTCTTGATGAAGTTGGTAGGAATTAGAGGCTTTTGTATGTTTTAGGGGGAGTTCAACATCATGAATACAGAGCCCAAACTTTTATTATGATTGCTAAATTCTATTCAAGAAATCTTCATCAGCTTCAGTAAGGCTGTTAGAACATATGGTCCATTTTCTATTTATCTATACAATATGTATCTGCCATTCTCACTCATTTCAACAGAATCTGCATGTGCTCAGCAGTCTCCCAAAGCAGGTTACTTTTATTTAGACACCTAAATATGAATTATAAATCATAGAATCACAGAATGGCAGGGGTTGGAAGGGACCTGTGGAGATCATCTAGTCCAAGCCCCCTGCTAAAGCAGGTTCACCCAGAGCATGTTGCCCAGGATCACGCCCAGGCGGGTTTTGATTGTCTCCAGAGAAGGAGATTCCACAACTTCCCTGGGCATCCTGTTCCAGTGCTCTGTCACCCTCAAAGTCAACAAGTTTTTCCTCTTGTAAAGAATTTTTTCCTCATGTTCAGGTAGGAAAAAACAAAGCAAAACCAAACCAAACCAAACCCTAACTTCAGGAAGCAGAGGTGGAAAAGAATGAGTAAAACTGATCAGTTCTTTTATGGTAGATCAGGCAGTAAAAAAAGGACTACCGACAAGGCTCTTCTGTGAGCAGAAGGAAGCAGAATTTCTGAAGGCTCAGTGTATAAATTAGGCTTGCAACAGGAGTTCTGCTAACTAACTGTCCTTTGTAAATATTTCAGTGTTGCCAATAGAGACACTGGCTCATCACATCTAGTAGTCCTTTGCCCTTGCCAGCTCACAGTAATGTTAAATCCTGTTACCAGCAAAACTGTTTAACGGTTATCACAGCTCCCCAAAACCCTCAAACCCAAAACCCCAACAGTTGCACGTGGAATGATGAAGGATCCTCTCTAGCAGCCTTCTTTAAAAAGTTAATGAGGGTGAACTCAAGCTAGGACAGGGCAGACTGTGGGAAGAAGGGCAATTTGCACTGTTGATGTCTGAGTTGCAGCCAGCCAGTAGATAATTAGCCACCCTTCATGTCCTGCTAGCCTCTTTTCACCACCAAACTCCTTTCATGGGGAAAAAGAACTAATTGCTCTGGCAAGCGTTTGAAAATGTTTTTGGAGAAGGTGTACATTCAGAGAGCCCTAATGAGCAGAAATTCTCAGTTACTCCAGCTAGGCCCACCCAGTAGCGAGATGGATGGATAATCCCCAACGGAATGCTTTATTTAGGAAAATCAAAGGCTAATGGGCTACTTTTTAAATGGAAATCTCTGCTCTAGAATGAATTTTGAAACACACAGTCATTTGCCAGTATAGACCAGGCAGCAATGAATCACCTAACAAAACCAGTTATCTGTTTGCTTCTGTTTCTCTCTTAAACATTAACGTTTCCGGTGTGGCTTTAGAATCCTGAGTGATTCCACATGACTTCCTTCCCAAACACTGTACTGGCCTGCAGAGCGCAAGAAACTCTCTTCCTTAAGGATTTTAACAGAAAATCCAACCTATTCTCAGTCTTAACAAGTCCTGTTCAGGAACAGTCCCTTCAAATGACTTCAGATGATACATCACTTGATGCAAGCAGAGATACGGGCTGAGATAAATGTGTCTCTGGGAACTCTTGAAACAGTGCAGACCTCTGACTGGGACAAAGTAAATGAAACTCCTTCCTAACTAAATCGAAATAATTTCTGACTAAGAAACCTCAGCTGTCAGCATTACTAAATTTTGTGGAGCTCTGGCTACAGTCAGAGAGCTATAGGGCACAGTCTTAATTAAAACAAGGAAACCAGAAAATAAACATGTATCTGCTGTGAAAGAGGGAATTAAATTCTTTCACTCCCTCCTTTCTCCGTGGGACAGAACAGAGAGGGGATTCCCTTTGTTAAGTGTTTATCAGGCAGTCCCAATTGTGCCTAATCACCACCCACAGCTTCTCTTTGCAGGTCCTCTCTAAGCAAGCTGGCATAGGGCCTTTGTACCATTAAGTCCCACTTGAATATTTGGAGGACTTCCATAGCAGCTTTTGTTTGCTTTTTAGTGTCCAGAGTAAATGAAGGATCCTCTCTTCTGCTCCGTGCACCCCCAGCAGCAGCAGAGAGTGTGGAACTTTGTCAAAGCTTTTCCACTTAAATCTACTTCCAGTCATCAGAGAAAATGGAAATGGAAACTGAGGCTGCAGGAGCTTTGCTTATCCTGTTGTGTGAACTCAGGATGGAACAGTTCTCCAGCACAGAAATGAGCCCATACACACACGGGTCTGTGCAGACAAGGCAAGGTATATAGAGCTGTCCAGGGCTTGCCTGAAAGAGGATGAAAGAAGGTGGTGTTCCCATCCAGACACATATTTGACCAAGTCTGAGCTTAGGTTAAGGCCAAACCTAGAAGTTTAATGGTGACAAGAGGATACCGAATCTTATCATGACGTCTCAGCTATCCCATGGGAATTATTACTCTCACGAGATGTCCACCATTCATGTACAAATTTCATTACATTTCCTGCTGCTTTGACACTATTTTCATCCTCTCGTTCTGCATGCAAAGCAGATCTTCAAAAAAGGACATCTTAATCTTAGATCCTGCTTGGAAAAATATTTCTAGAAACAGGTTCCTAGTAAAATATTAAATCTACAATATCTAAAACACTGATAGAAAGAGGGGTGTAGATAAATGCTAACACCTTAAAAATAAGGAATGAATAAAATAAATTTTTGAAAAAGTAAGGAAACCACTGAAAAGCACCCTAGTTGGAAATGACAAATGCTGTGAGGCCGGTCCCCTTGGAAGGAAACACCTTTCTAGAGAAGGGAGGTCCTGGGTGTGTAGGAAGGTCTAAGCTGAGCCAGCTGGGCCTCTGCGCAGGTGGGTTTTCTGCCATGCAGGGACAGAAAACATTTGACAGGAAATAAAACAATCAGGGAGCTGGCAGGAGCGAGACAGATTATGATTTTACTGCTATTTAGGCTTGGGATGCAGTAAGGTGTTCGAAATAGGTTTGGTTTAATTTTGACTTACTCTTCAAGCAGCCTGATTTAACCTCTTCAAGGGCTCGTTTTGATGGGGCTTAAGGTACCCCCATTAGTGTTCATTTGGGTTTCAGCCTAAGTATTTTTCTCCTGATAAATGGAGTTACTTACAGATGGAAGTGCTGGCAACACACAATAACTGCACTGTAAGTGCCAATGCACCGAGCAGATGTTTTACCTCCAAGGAAACAAAGGGAGTGTCCTGCACCTGTAGAGAGATCTGTTCCCCATCTATGGTGAACTTTCTTGAATACAAAGCACCTGGTGGAAAAGCAAGATCATCAGAGTCAGTGACTGTAACAAAGAAGAAAGAGTACACAAAGGCAAAATGAAACTGTTGAAATGCAGAATTTTGAGGCTTATGGTATGTGGCTGCTTATAGAAACGTGAATGGCACCAGAGTGGCTGTGTGGCTGTTTACTTAAGTAAAGTGGGTTTGTATTTGCAGTGTGGTCAGATGTTTTGAATGTATAGCTAGGATGGTAGCTGGGAAAGGTGGCACTTTGTATTGAATCAAATAGTCAAAGCGGGTGCATAAATCCCATTCGGGTTTTCAATCCATATTGTTAACTTTTTAAAATGGGGACGGCATGTGTTTTTAGTCTCAAACCAAGACATCCAGGTGTGGTCTGTAAAAGGAGTGAGCTGTTTCCTATTGCATTTTTTCTGAAAGTTTTTTGAAAAGAAAAGTATTCTAGTTTTGGACACAGAGTAATTGGCTGTAGACAACTCACCCAGATGCTCCTTGGGATTTGTGTGACCCTAGCAGTCAGAGCTTGGTTGAAATCCCCAAAGACTGGACACTTTGAAACTGACTTCTGGTTAATCTGAATGACACGTATTCAGGGCCAAGTGCTAGTTCAAGCCATCTAGGACTGATTCAGCTCTAACAAAGCCATCACTATTTTGGGCTTGAACTTTATTTCATTACCGGAGCGTGGGTAAAATGACAATGAAAACTTCAGTTTTGTTCTTATGAACTATCTGTACTTGTGATAAGGACAGCTTCAGAAACTGATGCCATCATCATTTTTCTTTAGAACTTAATGCAAATCACATGGATGTGTGGAGAAATCCTATATCCACAGCTGTTGTGCACAGCCTTTCAGTCTTGTCCAAGAACAAGACTGCATCTAAAACAATGTACTTCATCTCAAACATCGAGAAATCCCATCTATTGGAGAGTAAGGAATTCAGATTAACAGGGAGGTCAGTTAGTGACAATAAAGTCATCACTTCTGAAAATCATCTTTTGTTCAAGGAAACAGGTGTTTTTATTCCAGTGGAAAAGAGTCTGAGCGCACAGAAACTTTCAGGAAATTTAGCATGGCCAAGTTTGCTGCAGCTAAATCCAACATTATCATTTTATGTTTTAATCCTGACTCTGTGAGGTGACCTAGCCCTTCTGGGATTTATTTAAAAAAAAAAAACCAAACAGATCAGACTTCAAGCTGAAAGGATGCTACTGTTTTATGGGAAGATACTGCACCCCTGAACCCACACCAGACAACATATTATTCCTGCTCTGTCAGGCATTGCAGAAAAAAGAGCAGGTACTTCCAGACATTGGCTCTGCTCTGCCTGACACCCAACTGCAGGAGAAGCATGGTTGAACGATCACAAATACACTGCCACCTGTTTCTTATTTCTGGCATATTTGTTTCTTCTACAGCATGGCTGTTGGGCTGGTAGCTTAATGAGAAAAGCATGTGGTTCTCAGCAATGTGTCTGGCAGCAATCCATTGCGAAGCTCAGAAGTCTAACTTGATGTACAGTCTCCCATAGAAGAGAGGAAGGAAAAGAAAGAGAAATAGTGCAGCCAACCATCAAGGTTACTTAGGGTCAGTGAGAGGGAGCTGTAAGGAGGAGCTTTCAGATTGTATTTCATCAGACAGGCAGAGATCAAAGGTGTTTTGTGCTGCCATCTCCTTTCCTGACCCATCTTTCCGAATTCAGCATGCAGCTCCAAAGGGAAGCAATCACCGCTTGGAATCCTCTCCTCCTTCACCCAAAACCTGTGAGATAGCCTACGTGTGGGATGTGCTGGTAGGTAGGAGCACGGTGTACGTAGAGCCTTTCTACGACACTGGCCGATACAGTTGGCACTTTCTTGGAACAGAGGCTGTGAACTAGACAGTTCACACGAGCACATCCTCTGAGGCGTCAGGCTCAAACAAGAAATGCAGCAGAAGCAGTTTGCATGGTCCCTTTGCTTAGCTTATGGAAAGGAGACTTCCATTTGGAAGTCTTCCTTGTCATAAAAGCCACCGAAAAAAGGGAGTACACAGAAAAAAGTTCTGAACTGCCTTTTACGCACTTTGGAATTCCTCCGGCTTCCCTGGGGTTGCAGAGGGAGCAGCGTTGGGTTTCCGCGGTTTCGTCGATATGCAAGTTGTTCCTTGGGTCTGCATTTTCGTATAGGTGTGTCCCCAAGCAAACCTTTTACTCTAATCCTTTTCCATCCAGTCGGGGAAAAAAAAAAACAGCTAAAAGGATCATAAATAACGAGCCCTTGATTTATTGCTTTCATAGCTTGAGGCTATTAACTGGAAATATGCACCTTATGGACATCTAACACTGCTTGGCTTTCCTGTAACGTGCACCAGCCACAAAACAGAGTAGGTTTCTTTTCAAGCTGTCTGCAGCACTGCAGCAGAAAGCAGACTCACCAGTATTGGCTTCATAGTCTCCAATAAATCTCTTCGTGAGAAAGCGCACAACCAGGGCTGTAAAACAATGAAAAAAATACGGGTCTTCAATGCGAACCAAAAATCAATCTTTGCAGAACACATGTAATATCTTACTGGAAGAGTTAGTATAATACGAAACCAAGTTAATCTTTGAATTGCTCCCATATTATTCTGCAAATGCTTCTCTCAGCACTAACAGAAAAAGAGCTGGGGCCAGGCTGTGATACCTAATGCAGAGTTTTTCACAACTTGTATTGGAAATTACCCCTTAGATTCAGTGTGGCTGTTCAGTGTAGGATACAGAGGTTTGTTTGTTGTGATTGCAGCTACAACAATCTGACCTTTGGTTTGAAATAATTTAGCAAAAGAGAAACAAGCCAGCGAACTGAAAAGAATCCCAATACCACATTTAAGACCTCTGTGCGAGGCTGAGGGGTGTAATGCTTCTTCCCAGCCTTAAAAATCCTCAGTCCTCCTCGTGAAACCCATCAGTGCTCTCTAATCACACCCAGCAAACAAACTGCATGTGCTGCGCGCACGCGGGTCATGCTGCAGCGCCCTGGGCCTTCGCATTCACCTTAACCTGCAGTGCTTTCTTACACTGTGGGGTTGGAACATGTTCCTTCTTCTTGATCACTTTATAACACTTAAAATCCCATCGTGGCAACAGTAACTTATATTCCTGTGGTGCTTTCATCTCAGCAGATTCCTAATCATTTGCAAAGCCACTTAGTTAATAGCTAAATAAAACGGTTTATTCTGCAAACGACTCCATCATAGATTTCATTTAAAATAATCATTTTGCTCACAGTAGATACTGGGTCACCTCTTTAGATGAAACCGACTGTGCAGCTATCGTCAGCAAACTGCTTAAAACTAACACGAAAATGTGTCTGCTTCAAATCCAAAACAATCAAACATTTTACTGAGTCCTGTGGAACCTCAGATGTAGTAAGACAGATCTGGCCTTAATAATTTCTGAAATGAACCATATGTTCAAAAGCAATAATGCTCTTTTCTTCTCCTCTCCTTTGGAGAACAACACAGGAAGACACATGTTGTACGCTGTTATTTGTTTGCAGAGCATAAAACATTTACAACAGAGGAATAAAACCCACTAGTCCCATTTTTGGGGTGCGGAAGGTTAGACACGGTTAAATAATTTGCACAAGACCAGGTAGAATCATCGGTGAGTACAGAGCTCCCAGCACAGCGCCCTCTCCTCTCAACTGCCACCTCGTTGGCTGCTCACACAGACCTACAGCAAATCTGCCTCACGATTCAGCGCGTTGAAAAAAAAAAAAAAAACAGACAAAAAAAAAGTCATTTAAAACGTTCAAGCTGCAAGAGCTAAAGAATTTTCACAGCTTTGGGTCTATCTGAGCTGCAAATGAGCTCGTAAGTACAGCAGCAAGAAAAAGCATGGAACTCCACCTGTGGACTTACCTGTCTTGCCAACGCTACTGCCACCCAGTACCACGAGCTTGATGATTTTGTTGGGCACGCAGTCTAGCACAGGATACTCTGGTATGGGGAGCAAGAGAAAGTTAGTAGAATACTGTGACATAGTATCCTGAGAGATGAGACGCATGCCAGAAACGAGAACTGTTCAACTCCAGGAGGAGTTGGGGGAGAAAAGAAGGAAAACAGCTTCTCGGCGGCTGTTCTTGGCTGTATGTCCTTGGGTAGAGAAGCCTTCTCATTTCATTGAAGTCGCTTTCCTGAGGAACGTTAGAGCGACCGGCCTCCTCTTCCCGATGCCTCCTCTCAGACAGCAACTTCGGAAAGCAAAAGGAAACTTTTTGATCAGCCCCCGTGAAAACTGACTCCTCCATCCCCCAGCCAATCACAAGTGAAACCAGGACATTCCTGCAGCCGGGCACCGAGCGGGTGCCTCCATCAACCACACTCCCTCGCTCCCTCGCTCGCCGCTTTATCTCTCCCCGCTGCCTGTTTTACGTGCTGCCCCTTGGCTCTTTGCTAAAACGAGATTCTTCTGGTTTACAGTCATCGTGGTAGCGCTTGCAGCGAGATACAGTCACCCCCACGCTCTGCTCTGATTCCACTTTGAATAATCCCGTTCTGCCTGTCCAGTTTCTTTGCATTTTCAATTGGCTCCAACTCCTTGCTCTGTTGTTCTCCCTGTCCTATTGTGTCCCACGGTTGGGCCCCTTCAGGGTGCAGAAGCTGATGGGACACTCCTCTTCAGGGAA